CAGTAATTAGTTTGGTGTGTGTTAACGTTTATTTTAAAGTCATAGCTTTGCTTCTTGGGTTGTTACAGGATTATTCTTTTCTTAGCTCTTCAAAACTTTGCTAGTGAACAGGCTTCTAGTCTCCCCAGGTCTGTGTTGAGCTTAAGCAGATCAATGAGTAGGAATCCAGCCTCAGGACTCAGCATGAGCAGGGCTAGTGTGTAATGACACGGCCAAAAAGAGAAGCAGAAGGAGAGTGTGACACACAGAGGAGCTTCATGAAATGCTTCCTGTTTCTGGCCAGATGAGCACGCATTGTGCCAAGTGCACAGCCCTACGCAGTTCCTCATGGTAAGGGTCTCACTCTTACCGCTCTGGGGGCCCCCGACACTGGATGCTTATGAGCTATCTCTCTGGAGGACTTCTTCCATGAAGTTGATATGTTTGTTTCCAAGTTTGTGTCCCTCAGTCTTCCATCCCATCCTGGCCTCATGTCAATAAGCTGTATTTTAAAATAGTTTGACAAATCCTCCATCGTATTAGTATTTCTTGATGTTCCTTTCTTTCCTTAAGATGGACTGTACTTCCCCCCATTCCTAACTGCTTCGTGAATGAGACCCTTGCATGGGTCGCTAAGAAAGTTTTGAGACAGACTGTGTTGTGGTCCATTATTTCACTTCCCAGAGACACAGCCCACAGAGCCCTTTCTGATCCACCCGTGCACAGTTCCGCTTTCTTGGCTTATTGGTCTAGCTGGCAGGGCTTCATTTGTTCCCATCCATGTGGATTTTATGTTTCTTGATTTTTGTGCATCTCAAAGCTTTTTTAATGACCCACATGGATCAGTACAAATCCAGAGTTTGATTCTCCATCTGATTAGGACATTCTTACCAAGGTCTGGACTAAACACAGCTCAGCTTCCCCTCCTGGGAGCATAGCAGTACAATCAGGTGAAGACCTGTTAAATGTGGTGCTATTTCCTCTCTGTGAGGCTGGTCTAAAAAACATAGCCAGGAGTATACCTGCCCTTTCAGCCCATTTTACTGCTCACTGGTTTGTTCTCTCTCTCTTTCTCTTCTCTCTCTTTTCCTACTCACATAACCAGTGTCATCTTCCTAGTAACTGAGAACTGCAGATAAGTATTGGTACAGATACATGGGCAGCCACAGGCGTTGCTGTGTACTTTTAGATGTTCTGCAGAACACCCAGATCACGTGAACTCTGGGAACTTTTTTGCTAAGCAGCCATCTCCACCCACTGGAAAGTGGGCCCTGCCTGGGGGGAAATCACTGATTTCTGTATACTCACTGCTGGCAATCAGAGCCCCGCTAAAGCTTTAAAAGCAAGTTGTAAGATGCACGTGTATCTTTATTAAGCCTATTTCCCAAACGGATAAAAGTTTTCTAGTGCTTTTTAAATTTATAAAGTCTATTTTTTTTTTTCATTGAAACAAGGGGGAAAAAATAACTGGGTGCTAAAAGCTGAGGTATAATGCTATTTTTTTTTCTGTCTCTCTAAATACCATTTCATCCGTTTGGTGATACTATGATTGTGGCTGCATTAGGTAATACCAGTAGAGAGACACAAAGAAAAACTCAGTATGATGACTGAAAAACTATTTTTTGCTCTTTCTCTAAGTTTAGAAATCCCAATAAATTCAAATGAACAATAAAAATAATTTCAAAATTGTCTCCTAAAGTAGAAATAGATTTTATTTCCAAGTATTCACAATTTCTTGTTATTTTTCAAAATCAGCCAGTAAGGCTTTTAAAGCTTCTTAATGACTGACTGTTGCAAGAGAAATCAGAACACTCATGGTTTTATCTCAGAGTTCACTCTAGGCTGTGTCATTGTTCAAGGCAGGGTGGGGACCTCTAGAATTAGAATTATACTCCCTGACGGGGACACAGGAGGAAAGAGGGGAGTTAATTTTCCCTATGGGAAATTATATTAATATCAAACATGGCATAGATTGAAGTCATCCTGAATTATACTTGTTTTAAAGTTTACCTTCTGACGTTTCCAGTGGCACTAAGGTCTTAAAACAGGCTTTTTGGTGACTACTTAGATTATTCCTAAGTCATGGCAAAAAAACCCTATCATGGTAAAACATGTAACAGCATTTTAAAGTTAGCCCTTTCTTAAACAGCCACACATTTGGGAGGCTATTTTAACATTATTAGTACTGAATTTTTCCAATATCTTCCAGTAACCTTTGCAAGTTGCAAGTTGACTTAAAAAGAAAGGCCGCGGTCTCCAGAGTAGCAGGAAAACTGTCCTGACGCAGAGTATTGCACACTCTTTACTCACCCTCCCCCACTTCACTGCACCTCCCCCCGAACAAGCAAGGCCCTGGCTTCAGAGGAACCTACAAAGGCAGCAGCTATAGATTTTCTTTTATTCCAATTCTAAGACTTGAAAGCGTGCGTGGTGTGTGTGTGTGTGTGTGTTTAAGCAAGAAGTAAAGCAGTTTCCGTTTGTAAAGGAGCAAAGCAGTCTCATGCTTATGCAACACAGATTTCCTTCAACCATCTTAGGGTCTGTGGATGTTAAATTATAGATTTAATTTTATCATTTTGAGAGCTTTATATATATATGTATATATATTTGGGAGTTGTTCAGACATCATTTTGGGTCAGCCTGGGGAGCGCTGCACAAAGGCATTGATGCATTGATGTTCAGAATAGGCACTGATCTACAAATTAAAAAAAAAGAAGTCACTCAAATTATGTGTGCCTCCTGTGCTTCCAGTTTGACAAAATAAGAATCACTGGTAGTTTGTCCTTGTGCAAATGCAGTTGTGAATCATATTAGGGGTGGGCCTGCTGTTCCATGCTTGTCCTAGGGAGCCCTTCTGGTGTTTGTTTAATGGTTTTTCTTTGGAATCTGAGTCTCCAAGACTTAAGATTTAAGTGGACTAATCTGTATTTCTCCCTTTCTTTTTTTATTTTTGGTTTAGTGTTGAAACTTTTAGCAAGAGAAAGTTGGTCATTGAATGTTGAGTTTGGGTGCAGTTGTGTATGTAGATGGCCTTTACATGCATGTGAATTTTAAAACACTGGGATTCCACTTGAATTAAATTAAAACATTTCAAGCTAGCAACTAAAAAGAGAAATAAGTTTTCCGCTTTATTCTATATGAAGACATAATCTAATTGTTAAGAAAAATCAAATGAAACAACTCTAAACAATTAGTTGAGGATTTTAGTGCTGTTCTGAAACCATCCAGGAATAGAATAGAATCTGCTCAAAATCCAGGCTGTTTCAAGCTCTGAGGAGGAAAGGATACTTGGAAATGTAGGCAGATGTTTGAGGGAGGGAAAAGAAAAGAAGGACGGAGGCAGAATGGAAAAACACATTTTTTTCTTTTGATTCACAGAAGCATACACAGTTTTTAGGTACTTGAGATTTCTTAGCTGCCAAGCATTTTCTCAACTGTCTAAAACAGATACTGTGTACTTCTTAACCACCCTCCCCCCACAAAAAATTATTATTATGGCATTTATCACCCAGTTTCCCAGGAAAAAGTTCCTGTCAGCAATAGCAGAAGAAGGAGTAAGAGTGAGACAGAGAAGCAGAGGCACATCTATACCTAGAAGAGACAGTCTTTGTTTTAAGGAAAACAGTGAAAGTAAAAGTTACTAATGCAAGAAAACCAATATAAGTGCCTTATTTTTCAACTTAATCCAGTTATCCATGGGCTGCCTATTTCTACTATAAACGCGTAGAGAACTTGTTTGCTGTTGTGCTGTTGTACTATTGGGAAGGTAAATGCCCCAGTTAAAAGACTGTCTTTGGCATATAGGGTTACCAGGAGGTATTCCTTTCCAGTCTCTTTCAAAGTACAATGTTAGGGGAGGAGACTCTGATAATCTCAGTAGAAAGTTGATTTAAATTGCAGAAACGTATATGAAACACTTTTGTTTCTTGCCCCTTGAACTTGAGGGGAATGAAAAAGTCTAGCATTCTCCACCTTCTTTTCTATTCTGGAACTTGAACTGTAATTTAAATCCTGTTCCTCATTAAAGTACCTGGCACCCTCTCTCTTTACAGCTTTAGTTACAGAGCTATTCAGAGGACTCACAGTTCTAAAGAGACAGAACAAGAATGTGTTTAAAGCTGTTTAAAAAGAAAAAAATGCTGAGAATGGTAGAATGCTAGTGTCCTTTGCCCTGCCCCTCACTGCTGAGATGGAAAGGGAGTCGAGTTGGTAAACAGGCAAATGGTTGCTAAAAAGTCTCCCCACCCAATCCGTCTGGGGTGCCATAGGACCCAGAGAGGGTTAGGGTTAGTGGGAGGGTTCAGTGGTGGGTGTGTGTGCAACCCTCTAGTCAGCTAGACTTTTCTTACAACAGGTAGCTTGGTAGAAGAGGTTGACTGAGGTTGACATTGGCAAGAATAACATTCTTTGGGGTTTTACAAAATCATGGAAGGAAAAATGTCAGATTTTTAAAGGCCTGAATCCTAGTATGCTTCTTAAGCATGTATAAGGCTGGAAAGAGAAGAAAAGGGCTGTGGGAGGCTCCTTGTCTAGTGTTTACCGAACTTGGATGCTTGACAAACAGAGCATCAAGCTAATTGTTCTTGAAGCAGGAAATCTGCAGTGGAGGAAGCAGGTGTCCGGTGATGATTACTGCGTTTCAAAATGCCCGTGTTAACTCTTTTGCTCCTTTGAGTTTGGCCCCCAAACCCCAAAGTGTCACTGGTTTTCTTTGGAATATGCCGTCCCTGTTACCTGTAGACCAAACACTCAATGAGTCATTTGTGAAGGAAGGAGAAAGTGCCTCAGTAAATTTGGAACCAGAGAGCTTACAGGCGGCAGTGTTTTCAGCATCCATCTTTCTTTATTTCTTTTTTTTTCTTTTTGGCTTTCAGCATCCCATACGTTCAGAAAACTTGTGACTAAGAGTGAATTATTATTTTTCAAATTGTTTTCAGACATTTCATGTTCATGTAAACTTGGCTTATTGATTTCCTGATTTTTCTTTATTTTTTTGTTTTGTCCATCTTATTTTTAATCAGCTACATCAAATGGGTCTTTGGAGGGCCTGGATAACCAGGAGGGAGGGGTGTGCCAGACAAGAGCCATGAAGATCCTCATGAAAGTTGGACAAGGTAAAGACCATCTGCTGCTTCGTGAAGCCACTGTGATCTGGTTTAGCCCCCCAGCTAGTGTGGCACCCAAGTTGATGACACTCACCTCATTCACGCTTCTCTTTAGTGTTGAAAGCAAACCCTTCTCCGTACCTTGAGCCACTGACAGATTCCCTCAAGTCAATGCACTAAGCTTCTTTCATTGGAGATCTCTCTAAGAGTTAAGGTCAGCCAGGTAGAAAGTCTATTGCTTGCTATGTATATAGAGATAGATATTTCTTTTTAAAAAAGCAAAATACCTCTTTGGTTCACAAATCAGAATATCTAGAATGAAAACTAAACATTTCTACAGTTTTGCTCATTTATGAATCTTGACTACAGAAGAGTTTTGTTCATTGTGCCTTTTCTGATATAGATAAACCTATTGTGCAGAAAGAAAGAATTATTCTTCTAATTAGAAGTTGGTATAGTAGTCGATCAACTTGCTCAGTTAAATTGAAATGTCATCTGCAATGCTTTGCCTGCCAAGTGCAAGAATCCCTACAGTTCCCACAGATGGCCGCACAATCTAAACCTCTGAAATAACTAGTATAACCATTTTGCTTTAAAAGAAAAATTATATTCTTGTATTTCACAGTACTTTGCATAAAGAATCTTATGTTCATTGCTATTCGTGCCTCTTGAGATATGTATGCAGCTCCCAAAGCTAGATATTGTCAGATGTCTGTGCCGTGATTAATCATTTGTTTTTCACATAGATGCAAGTTCTGCTGGGTCAACCAGGAATAATGATCCAACCAGACGTCCAGAACTAGAAGCTGGTACAAATGGAAGAAGTTCCACAACAAGTCCCTTTGTAAAACCAAATCCAGGTATAGCAGCATGCTCTGTGTGTTGTAGGGCTGTGGGTACCACACTCTGGGTAGTATCTCAACAGGTGGAATGGACCCAAAGTACTTCTCCCCCAGTAGGAATAACTAGTAGTTACAGACATGTTAGTAACCTTTGCTGTCTGTGAATCATTATTAATTATACTCAGTAAGAACAAAATAATTCATTCCCATGAAAGTCTTCCGTTCAAAAGAGTAGAATTCATCAGATGTGAGTGCCGATTATTAGTACTTCTCTGTCAGACCCAAGTTTTCATTGGCTGACACTTTATCAAGCTGGTTGTCAACACCGGCTTAAAGCTGATGTTAATGTATATATAATTAACGTGCTAATCCCTCATCTAATTATATCTAATCCACAAGAGCCTAATTGATCCTCTTCTACATTTTAGATGGTAACAGTTTTAAATAGTGCATAATGGCATGTTTTTCAGTGGTTATTGTTAGGGTGTTTTTTTTTTTTCACATTTTTCCATGTAAAATAAAATATTAAACAGATTGCTGACAAAAGTGTGGAATACCAGATAAAATTGGCCATCATGGAACTTCATTTTCTCCAGGGGTCTTGGAACAAACAGCTATGTGTTTGTTGCCATGCTAATGAATTTCTTACACAGGAGCTGGAGAGCAGACTCAGCAGTGTGGTGTAGGGCCCAGCGAGCCCGGTTGGCGGGCTGGTGGCTGTGTGACTCTAGCATCTGTGGCAAACTTCCGTCTCTTTCCAAGAGTCAGGGAGGGAGGTTGTTATTTCTAACTTTCAATGACAAGATGTGTCAAATTCTTGTGACAAACTGATAAATGGATAATATAATGATGCCAGGCAATTTTTTAGTGCTTAACATTTGGGCTGGCAGTCTGTTCAGTGTGAGAGTTTCTGCTGCCTTCCAAATATATTTTTTAAGTGTAAATCAAATAATACAAACGAGTTACAGTTGAACAGTTTCCCAAGCCCCCTCCCTCCTTTCCTGCTCTGAGCTGCTGTGCCCGCAGGCAGGGGCTCTTCCTCAGAAGGGCGGCCGTTTGAAGATGCACATGAAACTCCCTTTCTAAGAGGGAGAGGTCAGCAGACCACTGGAGCGGGAGGCACTGACCTACAGGATTGGCCACTCCTTTTTTTCCTGCCTGCTGCTGCCCCAGGCAGGCTACCTCGGTTAAAAGATGGAGCAGGATCAGGGGCTGGCTGGCGTGGGCAGACGTGGATGAGGACACGGGATGAGGAAGCTGTGTTGCTGTGAGTGGCCTGAAAGCTCGGCCCGGGGACGCATCCCCGTCACACTAATCGTGCGCCTGCCCTTTGCATTTAGCCGTCAGAGGAGGGTACGTGGCTCGTCAGTGGCTCGCGGCGAGACAGTTAGCTCTTTGGCCCTGCTCATTTCCCACGTGTTTCAGGGTCACAAAGGCAGCCCGTGGGCTCAGGGACAGCGATGACTATCTCGGTTTTTCTTTTCTCTCTCGGCGCTCGCAGGTTCCAGCACGGACGGCAACAGCGCCGGACATTCGGGGAACAATATCCTCGGTTCCGAAGTGGCCTTATTCGCCGGGATAGCTTCAGGCTGCATCATCTTCATCGTCATCATCATCACGCTGGTGGTCCTCCTGCTCAAGTACCGCCGGAGACACCGCAAGCACTCGCCGCAGCACACGACCACGCTGTCGCTGAGCACGCTGGCCACGCCCAAGCGCAGCGGCAACAACAACGGCTCGGAGCCCAGCGATATTATCATCCCCCTGAGGACTGCGGACAGCGTCTTCTGCCCCCACTACGAGAAGGTCAGCGGGGATTACGGGCACCCGGTGTACATAGTCCAGGAGATGCCTCCTCAGAGCCCCGCGAACATTTACTACAAGGTCTGAGGGCCACCCTGGCGGTACCTGCTCCCGGAGGAGACCCCCGTCCCCGCGCGGCCCGCGGAGGGTCCCCGAGCCCGCGTGCTGGCGAACTGACGGCCGCACGGCCAGGGCCAGGGCGGCTCCTCCTCCACAGAGCCCGTGCAGCTGGACAGCTTACCTAGTCTGTAGTTTCGGCCTTGGTGGACACAGACACGCACTGGAAGCTGGAACCAAGGAGGAGGCTCTCGCGCAGACCAAGCCGTGAGTGGCGTCCCGGGCACGCGCCTAGGAAGGCGGCCTCGGCTGGGGGCACCTCCGCCCGGGCGTGGACTGCACTGTCATATGGACCTCGGGCTGATGAAAGTTTTCAAAGATCTCTAGAGTTTAGTCCTGTCTCACTCCTCCCGACATCCAGGGCCCTGCAGCCTCTCCCCCGGATTTCCTCCACTCCACGCCGCTTCACCCAGGGAACACATCGTGCTAGCGTCCCCTGCCCCAGCCGTGCGCGACAACAGCTTCAGTCGAATGGGTAGCGTGTCCAGAAAGGATATTTGCCCATAAGGTGCCAGTTAGCCGGATGCCAGGCCCTCAGCCCAGGAAGACTCGGGAGTTCATGGAAGCGGGCGGGTGGGGCTGGGAAGGGGCTGGCTCGATGCTGCTGCTGCCTCTGAATTAGAAAGTTGGAAAGGAAAAAAAAAACAACACACACACACACACAATTAGGTAGCACTTTGGTTTTAGTAGGATTTAAGAGGCAAATAGGAGCCACAGTAACACACAGTGGGTCACAGTGCGTTGGGAGGAATTCACTGTTATACAGCAATGCTATGGGGTTGGGTGAGGAAGTCCCTCTTTCCATGGGACAAAGAGGGACTCTGTTGGGAAAGGGACTGGCGTGGAGGGAAGGGAGAAGGTGGGCCGCTGGTGGTATCTCCGAGCAGGGCTGTCGTGGTACTGGCAATAAGATATACGGCTCCCGAGCTGTGGGAGAGTCCGTCTGCTTCGGCTGATGTGTTAAGCAGACTCAGCTGCTATACTTATCACGTTTTATAAAACACAGGGAAAGCATTTAGGAGAACAGCAGAGAGCCAAACCTGACCTAGACGTTTAAAAGCCAAAGGTCAAACAGGCTGTAATTCCGTCACCATTGACATTATTAAGGAATTCTCATCTATAAAAGGTAGGTCAGATCCCCCTTCCTCTGAAGTCCCCCTCCCCAGTTGAGCCTTAGGACACTTTGGTTTGTGACGGTGCTGTCCTGTGCCCTGTGCCCACCAGGGCTGCAGTGTGGGGACTGAGGGAGGCCAGGGCGTCCGGCCTTGTGTCACGGTCACGGAAGGCCTCCTAGGGTCCTTAAGACAGAAATAAATTATGATGTCCAGGGGGAGAAGGAAGATAGGACGTATTTATAATAGCTATATAGAACACAAGGGATATAAGAGGAAAGATTTTAACTAATATATATTTTAAGATTGCACACAGTACACACCAGAAGATGTGAAATTCATTTGTGGCAATGAAGTGGCCCCAAGGCTCAGTGCTTAAAAAAAACAACAAATTGGACAACTCCTTCTGGGAAAAACAACATCTCTAGAACAATAACAATAATGAAAACAAATACAAATACAACAGAGTCCTCTGAAGGCATCTCACCTAACTGCAGACTAGGAGATACAAGCCCCAGATGCCAGGAGATGGGGTTACTGCAGCCCGTCTGGAACAGTGACCGGCGGGCCAGCAGCTCTCTTCCGTGTCGGGGTCTCCCTTGCCTTATGGGCTGAAGTGTGCTCTAGCGTCCAGCGGGTCTCAGTGAGGGGGTTTCACTCGTGAGTTTGACTTTGGCTCCCTTCTCTCCTTCTCCCCCACCCCTTCCCTTCTGGGAAAAAAGAAGAGAAAACAGGAAACCTACTTTTTTATGTGCTATGCAAAATAGACATCTTTAACATAGTCCCGTTACTATGGTAACACTTTGCTTTCTGAATTGGAAGAAAAAAAAATGTAGCGACAGCATTTGGAGGTTCTCAGACCTCCGGTGAGTACCTGCAGAGATGAGTTGTCACAGAAATTATTATTCCCTATTTCCTAAACCTGAAAAATGATGTTGGTCCAAAGTGCGTGTGTGTACGTATGAGTGGGTGTGTGGCATACATGTGTACATATATGTATAATATATATCTACAATATATATTATATATATCTATATCATATTTCTGTGGAGGGTTGCCATGGCGACTAGTCACAGTACATATGTAATTCTTTCCATCACCCCAGCCTCTCCGTTCTGTGCGTTCAGATGAGATTCCCTTGTAAGCCATCAAAAGTTACTTTTTAGAATGGGGGAGAGGGGCAAGAGGGGGAAAATGGGAAATAGTCTGATTTTAATGAAATCAAATGTCTGTATCATCAGTCAGCTACATTTTGGTTCTATGCGAAACTGTGAAAAATCAGATGGATCGATAAAAAGTTCCCTACAACCAGTTGAAGTGTTCTGTGCGTCTGTTTTGTGTCTGGTGCAGAATATGACAATCTACCAACTGTCCCTTTATTTGAAGTTGGTTCAGCTTTTGAAAGTTACTGTAATTGCCTTGCTTGTATTAGCATCCCTGGTCACCTGACTTTGGAATTTGCACCATCATGTTTAAGTGAAGATGCTGTAAATAGGTTCAGATTTTACTGTATATGGATTTGGGGTGTTACAGTAGCCTTATTCACCTTTTTAATAAAAATACACATTAAAACAAGACAGAAATGGCTTTTCTTACCCAGATTGTGTACATAGAGCAATGTTGGTTTTTTATAAAGTCTAAGCAAGATGTTTTGTATAAAATCTGAATTTTGCAATGTATTTAGCTACAGCTTGTTTAATGGCAGTGTGATTCCCCTTTGCACTGTAATGAGGAAAAAATGGTATAAAAGGTTGCCAAATTGCTGCATATTTGTGCCGTAATTATGTACCATGAATATTTATTTAAAATTTCGTTGTCCAATTTGTAAGTAACACAGTATTATGCTTGAGTTATAAATAATTTTTTTTCTTTCTTTGTTTTATTTTAATAGCCTGTCATAGGTTTTAAATCTGCTTTAGTTCCACATTGCAGTTAGCCCCAGAAGATGAAATCCGTGAAGTCACATTCCACGTCTGTTTCAAACTGAATTTGTTCTTAAAAAAATAAAATATTTTTTTCCTATGGAAAAAGCGCCTTCAAAGTATTTTTCTTTTCTTCTTTTTTTTTTTGTTTTCATTTTTCTTTCAGTTTTGTTTCTTATTTTAAGTTGCCTCCTTTTACTCTGTTTCTCCAAAGTTATGCAGAGACTTCTGCCCTTGGACACAGCGTGTCCACTTTTCACCTCGGGACATGCATGTGATGTGAATATTAATTTTTCTATGGCCGTAAACCTGTTAGCTTCCCTATGAAACCACTGAGCTGACATTTCCCAAATAATACTTTATAATAAAGTTTTACAAAACCCTAAGCACCTCGCATAGAAAACGTCTCTAGTTGTGCCCGAATTGCACAGTCTGGTCTCCTACAGAGTTAGCTGGGACAGGGAAAGAGTGAAACGTTCTCTTGCACTTAATTCCAAATTTATCTAGTTTCCATTTAAGCAAAGTAATTTCCTACCTACACCTTATTTTTCTTCACATCCCAGGGAGAAAGAAAAGTCAAACATTCTTTATAAAAGCTTAACTTTGATGAAAGCACATTTTGCAATCCTGGGTAAGGCAAGCCAGAGGCTAGCTGTGAGTTTGATCTCCCTGCTGGTACCCACCTTCCTGGGGAGGGTTTCCGTGTGTCCTGAGGGTGAAGCGTGTTCCAGGCCTGCTCCCATCATCATCCTTCCTGGAAAACTTCATCGTCTACAGCAGGTTACCCTGTCCCGTAAGGAGTGTGGTACAACGATGCTTTAGGTAGGGAGGATAGGAAGGCCCCTGACATCAGGAAACAAGCCAGGGTTTCCAGGCCTGTCTGGCCCAAGATGACACCCCAGTAAGTGAAAGAAACCAGTTTCAGAGGCTCACCAGGAGCTTCTGATGAAAGGCTGGTTTGGGAACCAGGATCTCTGCAGCTTAGCGTAGTACGTGTGCTGAAGAAATGTTTGTCAGGTAAAGGCTTTTCTTCATTAAAAATGATGGCAAAAATCCAGGAGACCCACACTTGCAGTGGACCGTAGAATCGCAGTTTACTCCTGCATGTTCACCCACTGCACTTAACCACCTTGGTGGCAGACCCAGCCTGGGGGCATAATTCACAGCCAAGCAACTGAGTTGAACACTGGACTCCATGTACCGAGATTACTTCTGAGAAGTCTGGGTGATAGGACAATAGTGAAGTATTGTGTTTTCAACTCTTGACTTTGTGGCTTCTATTGCAATAAATTACTAAATTACTCAATAACATAATGCCATAGTTTCTTGTTTTTGAGACCACATTTTCCAAAGTGAGTAAGCCCAGCTCAGCTGAGAGAGAAACCAGTTGTGTCCAGGTGTGATTCTGTTCAACTGGGAAGGAGGACTTTCGTGTACGGAAGCTTCTCACGGAGGTTGTATAAACCAGATGTTCTTTGTTGTGTCTGAAGGGTAAGCCCAGCCCACCACGGAGACATCACCACTCTGCATTGGCAAGCACTCCTCGCCGGCCGACTGGCCTCTTCACAGCAGCCCTCACTATTATCAATCCCTTTTTGGCAAAGCAGTTGCCCATTCAAACCCGGTGATAAAAGGTTTGCAATGGAAATGAGAAAAAAAAGTCAATAAAATATCCTTTGCTGGAGTAACTGCTGACCAGGGTACTGTCAGTCTTTGGACCCAGCCCAGAGAAGAAGCAGCAAAAAAAAAAAAAAAGAAGAAGAAGAAAAGAAAAATCCAGACTAGTAAAAATCACTTTCCTGATGTATGTAGGAAAGGACAGTGGCCCTACCTGTCTGGTCGGTGGCTCAGAAGGAGGCAGGATTGCTGCTGTAGCACTGAGCACGCTGATGGGCTGTTGTGCTTTGTTTTTGATTTCTATGGATTTGAAATTTTGTGTGTGATATTTGCAATATAAACTTTCCTGTGACGGGAGACAGTATTTCCTACCCCTGTTCTTCATGTTAGGTAGAGAACCATTCATTAGTAATTTAAAGGGGGCGTGACTCTTTCCCTGCTGTGGCCAAGCAGCAGGGAGGCAGAGGCTTCAGTGAGTTCAAGAGTCAGCTGCAACTGCAACCCGCCACCATGGCCGAGGAAGGCCTTGCTGCTGGAGGTGTAATGAGGAACACTGCTTTATGAGAAGTGGTGAAGACCATCTCATCCACAGCGGCCTTGCACGTGGAATCCACGAAACTGCCAAACCTTTGTCTAGTGTCAGGCCCATCTCTGTGAGCTTTGTGTGCATCCAACTGAGACAAGCCCGTGTATGTCAAGTTGGTGGAGGTCCTTTGTTGATGACAGTGAGAAACCAGGGCCAGGGGGAGGCCTTTGTAAAGTTGACAGGGGAAACCTCGTAAAGTGGTTGGGTACAGTTGTGTAGTAGTTGAGGACCATGGCAAAGAATCTCAGGCCAAGGACATCATTGAAGAGTACTTCAGTTGCAAGAAATGAACAAATAAAACTTTGGCTCATGTTTCTTAAAAAAAAAA